GCCAGCAACGTTCTCGATCCCCTAGGCGCACGCGACATTCAGGTCGTCACGTCAAGCACGGGTTTCAGTCCATGGTGGCGCAGGCGAACAATTTGCCTCCTCAGCAACGATCGTCCGCTAGCAGAAGGGCCAGCACAAGGGACATGCCATCAAGCAGTACGCAGCGACCACCTGTTGGCGAGCTTTCGCGCAAGGAACGGGGGCGCAAACCAGAACCCAGTGCCGAAGTGGTGGAATTCTATATTTCCGATATTGGCCCACCTGCTTGCGTTATTTGTGAGCTGCGGCGGTGGCCAGTCCTGTCCAGCAAGAACGGGCGATAACATTGTGGCCCCGTCAGTTGACGGAGCGGCATGGGCGCCCAATTGTGCCCCACGTGCGCAACACGTGAGACACAAACGTGGGAATGCTTCTGGCGCGTCAAGAACACGTGTTGCGCGAGCCGCGGGTTCAGCTGCAGGCGCTGCTAGAACAGGGATTCGGAGGCAGACCAGCAGCTCAAGTGGATTCGTGGGTTCACCGCCAGGACCGCCACGTATCCGCTTGTATCCTCAGAGCAGCATGAAGACTGGGAAGTGTAAGGTTTGCAGCGCTATCACTTTGTTTCAGTGTTGTACACATACGCGCCAGCTTTGCAACGGCACATTCGGTTTGCGGTGTGTTTTGTTGGCCCGGGGGCAATTTTTGTTGTGTCCCGCGTGCCTCGCGGCAGCAGTTGGGTGTTGGTTTCAATTTGGGCGTTCGGCACATTTGCACGGTTCTTTTCTTGAAGCTTCGGTCCTACGTGCGTTTCTGCGTCTAGCCAATGCCCTCGTCTGTGAGCGAAGGCCAATGCTCGGCGGTGCTGTCTTTCCTCCGCGGGCGTGCCTTTTTTCCGTCTTGGCTTTCCTTGAGTTCGCCCCGTGCAGGGAAGCCAGCGGAGATATCTCGGGCTCTCTATGGTTTTTGCGAGCTGGAACCGCAGCTGCCCTTCTCGATCGGGTCAGGGGCAGTCGCCCGCGAGCTTGAGGGTTGCACCGTACTTCAGATATCACCTTTCGGTTGCGTCCACTTCACTCATCAATAGATCTTTCCTGTCGCACCCCGAGACGTGGGGATAGGGCGGGCTGGGCGTTTCGCCTGCGACTTCCTCACCACTTCTGTTCCTGAAGCCGGAAATTTGCAACAGTTTCGTGTCCCGCATTAGCGCCGCGCGCCTTCGGCTTAAAACTTTGCAGAAGTTTGATGGATGGAGGGCGGGTCGCTTTCAAATTGTGAATGTCGCCTTAGCGCCGTGCACATAATTGGTGTACATGTTGCAACATTTTCTGGGATGTAGGGCGGGTCGTTTTCAAAATGTGGCTCTCGCCTTGGCGCCGCGCGCATTCTTTTCACACATTTGCAAAGGTTTCACGGATGGAGGGCTGTACCTTTTCAAAACATGGTTCTCGTCCCAGTGCCGCGCACATTTGCCCTAAGAGTTGACAGCAATTTCAAGGATTCTTCTGGTTGACGTCCAAGAAGCGGTGTTGTGGCACCATGTAGGGTCGTCGGAGCGAGTCACGTTGATTGGCGGTGCTGAAGTCTAAGGAACGGTATTCTGGCACGGTTCAGGATCGTCAGGGCGCAGCAGTAACGTTGATTCGCGACGTTGACATCCCAGGAACAATGTTTTAACACGGTTCAGGATTTTCAGACGTCTCTCATTGGGGCAATTTCCTAAGTGAGAAGAATCTTTTTGTAGGGGCTGATGAAGAGGGAACTTGGAGGGAGGGTTTGTTGCAACATCGTTGGTTGGTCTTGGGTTTGCATTGTTCTTCCTCCTCCTCATCTTCATCCTCCTCATCATCACCATCATCATCAGCATCATCATCATCAGCATCATCATCGTCATCATCATCATCATCATCATCATCATCATCATCATCATCATCATCATCACCATCTCTCCCTTCGTTCCACCTCTTCCTCCTCCTCCTCTTCCTCCGCCGCCGCTTCCGGCGCTCAACGCGGTGGAGTTCCCTTCCCTGCAACGGGGAACCCAGCAGTTCTCCTATGGCAGGTGGCTGGCCAGGGTCCAGCCGCGTTGCTTTCGGGCGGGAAGGCGGGGTACGACCAGCCAGTATGGTCGAAGGGCCCTCCTCCCCCTCCTCCTCCTCCTCCTTCTTCTTCTCTTTGATGATGCGGGTGATGTGTGGCGAGCATCACCGGGATTACTGTGGGGCGCAAGGAGACATGTGACAGGGAGGACACGACAAGACAATCTAGGACGTTCGACGGGGTTCTCCTCTCTGATGGTGTGGGTGATGTCTGGCGATCGTCGCCAGGATTGCCGTGGACCGTCGGAAGGAGAATTGCTTCGCCGACTCCATGCCATGGTGTGAATCATTGTGTGTGTCTGTGTGTGTGTGTGTGTGTGTGTGCGTGCATCGTTCGGGCGAAGAGATATGCACATACGCCGATCCTGTCCAGGCCCATCCTGGGTTCAGGATCGGTGCATGATGCCTACCTGGCCAGGCCAGGAGGGCGAATGCACCATTCCTGGGCTCAGGACGGATCTGACCAGGATCTGTGTGTGTGTGTGTGTGCCTGTGTGGGTGTGCAACATCTTCGGCACCGCCTGTTTTCTGAGCCCTCCGGCCGCCTGAGGCCCCGCCCGCCCGCGCCCTGTCTCCCCAATTAGGGCTACTCGCGTCCCGTTTAGCTCTTTGACCGGAAGGGGCCCGCTCCCGACCCGAAGACCAAAAAAGTGTGTCTGTGTGGCCGCGTAGCCGTACTGCTCGCCCCCCGCCATCCGGCGGTGTCACACTTTTGCATGTGCTCGCCTGCCACCCGCACCTGGGTGGCTCATGGCGCGGTCGATCCGATGGGAGCCTGCCTGTGAGGGCCCGGCCGCGCGCTCTAGCTCAATGCTGCCCGCTCGACTGCTTCCGCCTCGTCGAGGCGCGCGAGGCCGCGATCGCCATCAAGCGTGTGTGCGTGTGTGTGTGTGTGTGTGTGTGCGTGTGTGTGTGTGTGTGTGTGTGTGTGTGTGTGTGTGTGTGTGTGTGTGTGTGTTTGTGTGTGTGCGTGCGTGTGTGTGTGTGTGTGCGTGTGTGCGGGTGCGTGTGTGTGTGTGTGTGTGTGTGTGTGTGTGTGTGTGTGTGTGCGTGTCTACATAGTCCTCTCTCTTCCAGTCGTAGCCTTTGGCCCAAAGGCCCGCTCGAGAGCCCCAGGGCCACGGAGGCCCCGCGGGGGCCGCTGCGCCCCTCGGGCACCGGCGGGCGCCGCGGAGGCTGTGCGGCGGTTGCCTCGGCGCCGCGCTCGAGGGCCCTCGCTGCCTTGTGGGCGTGCCTCCCTGGCAGGCCCGCCCTTCAGGGGCAATGTTAGGGGGGGGGGGACAGGCTCCGAGGGGGCCACGCGTCGACCCCCAATCGCCCACTCCTCGCCGACATGGGCCTGACAGCCCACCTCGCCCAGGAACGTGTGGTCTCGCCGTCGGGAGCCCCTCGCCGATCTGTCGGCGACGTGTCGTCGATGCCAGCTCGACGTTAAGCCCCCTGAGCTGGTTCCCTGGTGGTCTTCGCGGCACAGCTCGTGCCTCCAGCGGCCGTTCGGGGAGATCTGGCCCCATCGGAACGCTCTCGGCGAGGCGCAGCTGCTGGAGGGCACCCCGAGGCTGGAGAGCCAGCACCCGAGTACCTCGAACTTCGGACCTCGGACCTGCACCTCGATCGACGTTCCCCCCCCCCATCGTTGCCCCTCAGCCCCGTCGACAGGCCCCGCCCCTTCGCGCCATGCACGTTGCCGCGGGGGCGACCGACGCGCAGGAGGCCCTCAGCTCGCTGCAGGTGCTTGAGGCCGAGTGCCGCGGCGGCGCGGGGGAGAGCCCGATGGCGAGCCGCGTGCTGCAGGGCCTCCACGGGCCGCTGGTGGAGCTCATCTCCCAGACCCCATTGAGTCATGAACAACAGCACCACGGAAGGTTATTCGCTATTTTCGGCTTCCGGCTTGGGGCTGCCAAAAGACGACCCAGGATGAAGAACTGGTCCTGGGGAACGGGTCGAGACCTCTGGCGGTCGACGTTGTTGAAGAATTATGACGTCGGGGGTCTGGGCTCAGAGCAGGGCGAGTTGAGACAGCGACAGCTCAACATCGGGCCCGCGACCCCTCCCCGGGTCCTCGCGCACCGGTTTTCCGAGCTGCGTCCCGCCGTGGAGGCGAGGGGGCTCGCCGAAGGCCAAGGCCAACTGCCCTTGTCTCAGCCCGCCCTCCTCTGACCGTCGGCGGGGCGATTGGCGGTATTCTGCAGGAGATGGTGCACAGCCCGCGCGATGCCGGCGTGCAGGGCATGGGAGTCCACTTGCTCCGGGCCGTCGTCCGGGACAGCCCCACCTGCAGGCAGATTGTCCTCCAGTGCGGCGGCGCCGGGGTGCTCGTGCAGGGGCTGCTGCACCACCAGGCGGACGAGGGCCTGCTGACGGAGGCCCTGGAGGCCATCGCGCGAAGAACAGCAAGCGGCATGTACAGAACCTTTGGGGGGTCCGTGCGGATTCAAGACGTCCGCGCGGAGCTCCGAAAGTTTAAGCTCATGCCGTCTCTTGTTCTTCTACCTCGACGAGATCCACGGCCTGGGCTCGCTGCTGCAGGCCCTGGGACACCTCAGGCACAGCGCAGTGGGGGTAAAGGCGTCGCTTAGGGCTTTCAGCAGGGCCGCGAGGCGGAGGTGGTCGGACGTGCAGCAGCTGCACCCGTCGGAGCTGCTCGAGGCACTGCTGGGCGCCACGCTGGCGCACCCGGGCGACGAGTGGGTTGTGATCCACACCCTTCAGCTGGTGAGCGACCTGCTCTTGGAGGGTCCCGAGTGGCGTGCGCCCTTCTCGTCTCCGGCCAGCTGGGACTGGCTGCTGGGGGTGCTGGAGGCGCACTCTGCGAACTCGTACGTCCAGCTCCACGGCTTCAAGGCGCTGTCCTCGCTCGGCGCAGGGGGCTCGTGGGGGGAGGCCCACGCGGCACGCTACACGAGGGTGCTGGAGGACGCCATGTGCAGGCACGACGACGACGAGGCCATGATGTCCTGGGCGATGTGGGCGGTGCAGCGCCTGAACGGGGCTCGCGCTGTGGTGGGGCCCCTGCGGCGGGGCTCCTTCAGATCGCCTCGGGCGGCCGCGGCGGCGCTGAGGTGCCTGGGAGGCGTGGCCCTCGGCCAGAGCGACGGCGCGGGCGTGGCGGACATGCCCGCCCTGATAGGCGCGGTCGTGCACACTATGGAGGCGTTCCCCGACCGCGACGACGTCCACTACGCGGCCACGGTGGTGCTCGGCCACGCCGCCGCCTTCGCGGTGTCCGCGGCGCCGGCCGCCGGCCCCTCCGCGTGCGGTGAGCGGGAGCTGCTGGAGTGCGTGGGGCGTGCGGTGCAGGCGCTGCTGCAGCTGATCCGCCTCCGTCTCGCCAACGCCGAGACCGTGAAGGCCGCCTGCCAGGGGCTGGCGGAGATCGTGGACGTGTGCCACCGCGGCTCGCAGGTGCGGGCCACCATCCAGCAGGCGCTCCTCGGCAAGGAGGAGGGCCACCCGGAGCCCCTCCTCTCCGTGGTCATGAGGGCGCATGTCTCAAACCCCGCGCTGCAGACCACGGCCATGTGGGTCAATGGCGTCATGCTCGGTGCGGCCCCCGTGGTGCAGCAGATGCGGGACCACATGGCCAGCCAGGAGATACAGATGTCAGGCGTGCGGACGCTAGGCATGCTGTACTACGACTGGATAGAGCCGGACCCGGGGGAGGCGGGCACGCTGGCCGCCGCCGTGGACGCGGTGGTTGCCGCCATGGGGGCGTTCCCGGAGAACCTTGTCCTGCAGCAGCATGCCTGCTTCGCGCTGCACACTATAGCGGAGCAGGACGCTGGGGTCGGCGCCCTCGGCCACGATCACTTGCAGCGGTGCGTCGGCGCCATCACCGAGGCCCTGGGGCTCGTCCGCGGCCTCTGCGACGGCGACCGCAGGAACCCGTCCAGCTACAACGCGCTGTTTCTGAGGAAGGAGGCCACCCGCTGCATCGTGGCCCTCTGCAGGGTCCGGCCCTCGCTGGGCCTCTGGCTGCGGCAGCGGGGCGTGCACTCGGTCCTGGCCGACGCCCTGCAGAGCACCGCGGATGCCACCTGGCCCGGCTGGCGCGACATGGAGAGCGAGGAGACCCTCTGCGTGGAGCTCCTGGCGCTCTGCTACGTGCTCGGCCCCGGCGAGGTCATCGCGGGGGCGCTGCGCCACTACGGGGCGGAGCGGCCTGCCGTGGTGCGGGCCGCGGCCGACGCGGTCGTGGAGCTCGCCAGGGGCGCTGGCCTGCTGAGCCCGGACGAGGGCCAGCTGAGCTCGGCTGCGCGCAAGGGCGACCCTTCGCTGGAGTGGCCTCTGGTGCGGGTCCGCCTGGTGCCTCCGACCGCTGAGCGCGATGCAGCAGCATCGGCTTGCGCGCTTGGGCTTGCCCCACCCACCCTGGGCCACTCTTGCCTAGGGTCACTCGGAGGTTGATAAACCTCCTACCCTGACACGTCGATTGGTGAATTGGCCGTTTTCGGTTCGCGAGAGGGCGTCGCGGCTGTTATTTTGCGGGTCCAGGTCCGTCGGTTTCGGTCCCAGGCCGTTTTCACTAAAGGGTGGTTTGCTAAAAGGGGGGTTTGTCCACCGCCGAGTCACTCCTCTGCGTGTGGCCGATGAGCGACCCCGCCTGCGCGGCCGCCGCGGCGCCTGTGCCGGCGCTGGCCGCGGCGGGCTGCGCCGCGGAGCTGCAGGCCGCCATGCGGGCTCACGCTGGCGACGAGGACCTGCAGGGCAGATTGCAGCTGGCCGTGGGCTTTGTGGAGAACGCAGCCCGCTGCCAGAGCAAAAAGCTCGTTGCCTTCGGTAGCAAATCATGGGGGCCTTGTGTGTCCTCGCGCTTCCGTCTCTTGAGTGCGTCGGCGTGCGCTAGCGTGTGATCCTCGACGAGGCAGCGCCGATTCAGCGTCGATTAGTGTCGATGCAGAGTCGATAAGCGTTGATGCGTGTCGACTTGCGTCGATTAGCGCCGGTCAGCGTCGATTCGCAAGAACCAGCAAGCTGGCATGGGAGGTTCCCATCAGGAAGAAGAGGAGGAGGAGGAGGAGGAGGAGGATGGGAGGAGGAGGAGGGAGGAGGAGGAGGAGGAGGAGGGGGGAGGAGGAGAGGGGAGGAGGAGGAGGAGGAAGAGGAGGAGGAGGAGGATGAGGAGGAGCTGGGGAGGAGGAGAGAGGATGATGAGGATGAGGATGAGGATGATGGGATGAGGATGAGGATGAGGATGAGGATGATGAGGATGATGATGATGATGATGATGATGATGATGATGATGATGATGATGATGATGATGATGATGATGATGAGGATGGAGCGTTAGAATCAGGAGATTTTTTTTGATTGCTTCAGGGTGTTCAAACGGTTGTCTTACAACGAGGCAGTTCCCTCAGTGGAAATGAACCGTTGTAGGGGCCTGTGAATAGGGAGCTGAGAGGGAGGGTTTACAATGGGGCGGAGAGGAGGAGGAGGAGGAGGAGAGGAGGAGGAGGAGGAGGAGGAGGAGGAGGAGGAGGAGGAGGAGGAGGAGGAGGGAGGAGGAGGCGAGGGGGAGGAGGAGGGGAGGAGGAGGATGAGAGGAGGAGGAGGGAGGAGGAGGAGGAGGAGTAGGAGGAGGAGGAGGAGGAGGAGGAGGAGGACGAGGAAGGGGATGATGGGGGAGGCGAAAGAGGAGAAGGCGGATGCAGGCCTCCCTCCGCTGTGGCTTGCCCTGGCTGGGCAACTCAATGTGCCGCCTTCTCCGATCCGCCTGCTCCTCCGCCTCCTGCCCATCCTCGTCGAAGTGGCTGTCCGGCGCTGGTGTAATGCATCCTCCTCCTCTTCCTCCTCCTCCTCCTTCTACTCCTCCTCCTCGTCCTCCTCCTTCCGTAGCCATTTAGGCTCAAGCCATTTTGGCTCAAGGGGCCTGCTCCTTAACTTCCCAACCTCTGCTCAAGGGCGGCCACAGAGGGCCAGGTTGGGCCGCGCGCGGATGCCCCGCACACCGTACCTGGCTTGCAAGCGATGCGGTGTTGACAGCTGGATATATGTCACCAATAAGGCGGAGCACTGCACTGTCTGCGGCCTGGCCTTTCCTGGTCGTGGTCGTCGCGATCGTTCCAGGGCTGATCAGGAAGCTGTATCAGGTGGCGCTGACAAAGGTGGTAGAGGAGGTAAGTCGGGGAGAGGGCGCACGAATATTGTTGCCAAGGGCAGGGCCGTTGACACAGCACCTGCACACGTCGCGCATGCTGACGATGATGATATGGAGCGCGTCCCTGATTTCCCTGGGGAGCCTGCTGCTGCAGCTTCTGGTGATAATGATTTGCATCATTTGGAATCTCTCCCCCAGGCCCGCATCAAGTACACCCAGGTCCTCGAGTCTCTGTCTCCCCACGTTCCCGTTCAACGCGAGCTTGACAGCATGCGTACCAGCGTGGAGCAAACCAAACAGCGGAAGTCTGAACTTTTGTCCCTTGATCAGCTACGGTCCGAAGCGGAGAGCCACATTAGATGGACTACGGCAAAGTTGGAGAGGGCAGAGTTGGGCATCCAAACTCTTGAGTCCCAGATGGATGCCCTCATTGACAAGAAGGACGAACTCACGGCGCGCCGAGATCGTCTCCAAGCATCTCTGGCGACTTGGCAGCAGCGTCTTGCTAGTGTATCTGATTCTACGCACGGCGCTGCTACGTCTACTTCTGGGGCTTTGGAAACTGTATCGGCGGCGATTCCTCCAGATGCGTTGGCCTCCCCAGAGGTTGCTCAAGCCCTGGCGGCCCAGCTGTCGTCCCTGGTCCCGTCCGGAAGCCAGGAGCACCACGTCCCCCGCACAGCCCAGTCGAAGGCGCATCCTCGCCCCCCACGTCGACGCTGGGATGAGATCAACGACGAAGACGACGTCCCTGTTGGTAGTGGCGACGCTGATGAATACGATGATGGTGACGATGCAGCTGGCATGGATTGGGACCAACAGCTTGCACGGCAGCACGGGGGTCGTGATCTTCCCGCCCAGCATGGCGATGATTTCGTGCATGCCGCCGTCCAGCGTTGGCCTGAAGGCGGGTAACACTGCCCAAGGACCTCCCGTACCCCAACCAGCCCTGTCACATCAAGGGGGAGGCGGACCCGTCTCCTGGCGTCGTTGTCGTCACCGGCGCCATCGGCGGCTTCGGTCTTGGTATCTAGCAACCGCTAATATCACTACCTGGTCTCGTGCTCGTGGCCTCCTCAGCTCCACGTCGTACGACGTCTACTTGCTACAGGAGCTCTTGACAGGCGAGGAGGCTGCAGGGACCGCAATGTCAGATGCCAGCTCTTGGGGTTATCATTCACTCCTCCACCCCTCTGTCCCCACCCTGGCGGGTGGGTTGTCGGCGGGGGTTGGGGTGGTTTCCTCTTGGGCCTACGGCATGCGGCCACTACAGCTTGGTATTGAACAGTTGCCCCCTCTGGAGAGGGTCATTTGCACCACATGGTATGGAGTCGTACCATTGGGTCTCCCAGTCTTCAGTATTTATCTGTACACTGGTAAAGATGATGAGACCGCCGCGAAGAATACGCAGCTGCTGTTGCAACTTGCCGCCGTCCTGCGCGCGCTTTCGTCTCCATATGTGGTTGGTGGCGATTGGCAAATGTCTCCGGCACAGCTGTCAGCATCGGGATGGCCAGATCTCGTGCATGGATGTATTGTCTCTCTCACGGAAGACACTTATATTTCTGGTGATGATCACTCATGCATTGATTATTTTGTTGTTCATCGGTTGTTGGCGGAAGACTCGTCTTGCGAAGTTCGGCCCAGTGCGGCCATTGCAAAACATGAGCCTGTAGTACTGGCCCTGGCAGGCTCTTTGAAAACAAGGTTCACGCCTGTGATCCGACGCCCTCCCAAGATTCCCGTGCCCTTGGCAATTGGGTGTGATCCAGAGTTACTCGTTGATTGGAATGGCTTTCCTGCAGACCCCAACGACTCTGACAGTCTAGCAGATGCCGCGTCTCGTTGGGCCCAGCTATCTGCTAAGGAACTTCTTATTCGGCATCATATGGATCCAGATCTGCATGAACGGTGGGGGCAGCCGCTCTCGATTGTTCAGGTGCCCGTCGTAACCCGTTGCCGTGTCCACCCCCAGACTACTTTCGCAGGCCGTCTTTGGCGGTAATGTCTATGCGCTTATCCTGGGTACTGCAACTCCGCGCCAAAGGTTTGAGAACCAACGCCTATCTTTGTGCTTGCAAAGTGCGCCGGTATCGTCCCAATCCGAGGGAAGGATCGTGCCCTGGAGAGTGGGATTGGTGGTGCGAGCAGGTCCGATGTCTCCCTGCACTGTCTGATGAAGCAGTCAACGTTCTCGTCGCACAGCTCGATGAGATGGCCGTGAACGCCGCAACATCGTCGTCGAAGGCTCGGCATCAGCAGTGGTGCGATTGGGTTCTCGCCGAAACGTCAAAAGGGCTCGGCGGCTGCTTACAGATTTATCCGCGGGAAGCCGTCCAGGCAGCTCTTCGAGATCGACCCCGACCTGGATTCAGAAGCCCCCATCGGATCTCCGCAGCACCATCTTCATTGTCGCGAGGAGTTTTGGCATGGTGTTTGGGGCGTCGACAAGACAGACGACCCTCCAGTTTTCCCACGCCTGTCGGCCGAGCAGTTGGATCAGATCACCTTCCCAACCCGTCGAATTTGCGCCAGTTGTCAAAGAAGTACAAGGAACGCACCGCAATTGGATGTGACCACATTCATCCCCGTCACCTTGCACAGCTGTCCGACTCAGCACTCCAATCTTTGGTGATGCTATGGCGAGCCATGCTGCGCATGGGATCGGTGCCACCAGTGTTTGCTCATATTCTGTTGTCTCTCATCCCTAAGCCTGCTTCTGGCGACCGCCCGGTTGCCGTGTTCTCGACATCGGTTCGTTCTTGCACCAGGTGGCTCCGGCGGTCTTGGGGATCGCAGTGGGCTCGCGAACACGATCGTCCGTATCTCTTCGGCGTAGCTGGAAAGTCTTCGGTTCAGTGTGTCTGGCGGCAGGCTGTCCTTACTGAGCTTGCTCATGCACGGGGGTGGGTATCTTGCAGTCTCCTCCTCGGCATCATTAAGGCTTTTGAGAACGTCTTGCATCACATTCTAGTCGGAAGGACTAGTAAGTTAGACTTCAACATGGTCTTGCTTCGATTTCTTATAGTACTATTTCGTGGCCCTAGGCTTGTGTCTGTGTATGGCATGCCAGGTCGCACAGTACATGCGACGCAAACTATTTATTGTTGCTGGATGCGGTTTTGCTGACCTCCTGATGAGAGTTATGCTGATTCTTGACCTTGATCACTTAGTGCAGCAACATCCGTACGCCTTCTTTGGAGTTGTCGCCGACGACGTTCAATTTAACGTTCTTGGTACATTGCGTTTTGTGCTTGATCGCGCCCCGAGGGCTGCTACTGACCTCATTCGATCACTTCAGGCTGCTGGACTACCCGTGTCGTGCGATCCCAAGAAGTTGTTTCTCCGCACCTCGGATCCTGAATTGGCGAAGGAGGTCGTGTCTCATACGCCAGAGCTTTCCCAGGCCTCGTTGCCACGTGCGGCTCGGAATCTTGGTATTGATTACGTTGTGCGGCCATCCAGGGGCGCTGTCCAGGGCGTCCGGAAGGCTCGCATGAAGGTGACTGCGAAGCGTGCCAAACGTATCCGCGAACTCCGGAGAGCTGGCGGACGAATCCAGCCGATGTTGCGACCAGCGCTCGGTTCGACAGCAATGTATGGCGTTGGTGTAACTGGCTTTTCCACGCAGCACATACGTGAAATGAAACAGCATTACCATACAGCACTCGGCACGCGTACGCACAGGTCTGTGACTATGGATCTAGCTCTAGATCGCGTTCTCCACCCAGCAGTGCCAGCACACACGGAGGTTCTGACCATGTGGGCGGCTTCGCGATGGGATGGAGTTTTGTCGGCATCTATGCTCGATGAAGTCTTATTGTGGGCGAGCCGGAACGTCACCGCTGACACGCCTTGGTGTGACTTGCACGGACCAGCATCTGCAGTGGTTGCCACTCTGTTGAGATTGGGTTGGTCTGTAGCTACTCCCACTACCTGGCTTAATGTGTCTGGGATGTCTGTTGATATTACAGTTGTGGCACCTTGTGACTTGTCTGTACTTGTCGCTCGAGACGCTGAGGCATGGGCGTGGAAACAGGCCACTCCCCAGCACCCTCTCCTGCAGCATCTAGTGGGGCCCCCATTTCTTACCCCTTTGAGGTCTCTCCTCACCAAAGAGTCGCCAAGTTTCGGATCCGCTTCGAAAACGCTTTGAAAGCAATTATGTCAGGAGCCTTGCACCTCCCACTTCAGTGTACTTTCTGCGGTCATGTTGCTGACGATCCAGCGCGCGCGCTGTCTCATATGATTTGGGATTGCTTCGGTACTCTTCAGCATCGCCAAACTTTTGGTATGCCTGCTGGGATTCTTAGGGTTCGTGATCTTCATCCGGATGACCCTGTCTGGTTCACGGCGCTCGTACCCGACCCTGAACGCTTGTTTCCGACGCCATTGCTCGACAGTGAATTTGTATGGGCACGAGTTGGCCGGCAAGGGCAAGTCCTGACTTCTCCAGTGTTCGGAGATGGGTTTGGCATCCATGGGCCGTCTTCTTGGACGATTCGTTGTGGCTTTGCCGTTGCTTCAGTAGATCGGTTTGGACATGCTCTTGCAATTCTCTATGGGCCTTATCCTGGGCTGGCGCAGGCAGTTCCTGCAGCGGAGGCCTTTGCGCTCTTTGCCTTCTTGCTCAACGCAGCGCCGGAAGAAGGAGGACAGTACCACTATTATGGAGACTGCCAGTGGGTGTTAGATACATTTGCCCTCCTTCGGTCAGCCTCCACGGGGAGCTGGGCAGTCCATTCTGACCTTTGGACTCGTATTCACAATGCTGCAGAAAATATGGGATATCATAACATATTTCTTCACAAGGTCGTCTCCCACCTTTCTGAGCAGGATGAGCGGCAGCCAGTATGGTGTACCAGGGCTAACAAAGTCGTTGACGAGTACGCTAAGAAAGGAGCCGCCATGCACCCTTGCGATGAGGATGCCCTTGCCAGGGTACAGCGTTCCCGGGCAGTTGTACGTTGTCACACTCCTGGGCAAATGCATCGGCTATGTGGCTTCTTCGGCATTGGCTATCCTGACCAAGGGCACTCGAAGACCACCGAGTGAGGCCCCTCTTCCCCCCACGCTGTCTGTAGTTGCCCCTCCCCGAGGCTTTCCTCATCATATTGCGTGGGATCGACGCCTCCGGCGCTACAGGTGTCACACGTGTTGGGCTTCCAGCAATAGCAAAGTTGCCCTTGCTAGCAGGAGCTGTCCTGCCCCTGATGGTTACGGCCATTCTTTGAGAATGACGGGGTCGTACATTTTTTGCCGCCTGTGCGCGGCTTACAGTTACACAAATGTCCAGAATCTCCAACGGCTTTGTCGCGGCAAGGTCACTTCCGATATCTCTCGAAGGCGGCTGTCTTGTCTTCTGGACGGGTGTGACCCACGCACCAAAGCTTCCGTCGGAACGGTGACAATCCCCATGTTGGAGATATTTGATTTAATGACGTCTGTGGAGCTCCCTGAGTGTATATATCCTGGGCTCCATCTTCCTCTCCTGTCCCTCTAAGCAGGGCCCTGGTTTCTGGCGACGCTAGCCCTCAAAGAATAGGCGGCGCCACCGTTGACGGCTGTTGTCTCACGCTGTTCAGGATCTCTCGATCCCTTTGGTCAGTAGTTGGGCAGTTCTACTTCTGTCCAGGCTCTGCGCGGGAGCGTGAGCGGCGCGCCTCAAGGCGCCTTCCCGCTCCGCCCCGCGCGAGCAGCAGCCGCTATCGTCGCCGTCGCCGCCGCCTCCCGGCCGCCGCCGTCGCCGCTGCCGCCTGTGGCTGCTTGTTTTTCTTTCCTGGACCTCGTGCCCCAATTCGGGCGCGCGCGAGGCCAACCTAGAATCCTAGAATCCCCGTCCTCCTCCTCCTCCTCCTCCTCGTCCTCATTCTCCCTTTCCTCGTTTGCTCCTCCTCCTCCTCCTCCTCCTCCTCCTCCTCCTTCTCTTCTTCCCGTCCTAGCCCCTACCCCCTCCTCCTCCTCCTCCTCCTCCTCCTCCTCCTCCTCCTCCTCCTCCCCTCCACCTCCTCCTGTCCTCTCCTCCTCGTCCTCCTCCTCCTCCTCCTCGTCCTCCTCGCTCCTCCCCTCCGCCTCCTTGCGGGCCTGGGGTCGGGAGAGGTGCTCGCTGGCCTTGCTCGGCGTGGTATATTGCATCCTGACGCGGCAGCGGGCGCCCTGGCCGCCGAGTCACGGGCGCCCTCCGGGAGGGCGGCCTCGCCCGACGGACCACGGAGCGTCCGCGGGACCGTCCGACGTCGTCGTCGTCGTCGTCGTCGGCGGCGGCGGCGGCGACGGCGGCAGCGGCCGCGGCGGAGGGGGGACATGTGAGAAGGAGGAGGAGGATGAAGAGGAGGAGGAGGAGGAGGAGGAGGAGGAGGAGGAGGAGGAGGAGGAGGAGGAGGATACGGAGGAGAAGCATGATGTGGACGAGGGAAGCACGAGGATATGGATGAGGAGTCATGATGATGCTGATGCTGATGCTGATGATGATGCTGATTATGATGCTGATTATGATGCTGATGATGCTGCTGATGCTGATGCTGATGATGCTGATGATGCTGCTGCTGATGATGATGAGGAGGAGGAGGAGGGCGATGAGGAGGAGGAAGAGGTGGAGGAGGAGGAAGAAGCGGAGGAGGAGGAGGCGGAGGAGGAGGAAGGGGGAGGGGGAGGAGGAGGGGGAGGAGGAGCAGGAGGAGGTGGGAGGAATGGAGTCCTCCTCCTCCTCCTTCTTTTTCTCCTCCTCCTCCTCCTTCTCCTCCTCCTCCTCCTCCTTCTCGCTCGAAACGGGAGGGATGAAGAGGTCTCCATTTCTTCCTCCTACTCCAATTCCTCTTTCGTCCTGCTCCTCCGCCGCGTGCTTCGCCGCTCCTCTGTCCTTCTTTCTCTCTGTTGCTCTTCCCCTTCTTCTCCCTCTCGCCCTTGCTCTCTCGGCTTCACCTGGCCGTTTTTTTCTTTCTCCCTCCCTCGTCGTCCTCCTCTTCCTCCAGAGGTCATCATCGTCGTCCTCCTTCACCTCCACCTCCTCCCCGTCCGCCTTCCTGGTTTCTTGGGCAATGCTTGCACCTTACCTCTTCTCTTCCTCCCCTCCGACACCAATCTCCTCTCCCCTAGCCCTCTTTCATTTATTCCCCTCCCTCCCTCCACCTTTGTCATATTCGTTCCCTTTTGTCTTCCGTTCTCTCTTGACGGCTCCAGAACATTGGAACATACGACAGCTTCTGAGTGCGACAGGAAGCAATACGACATATGCAGAATGCGTCAGTACGTCTTTGAAGCCAGCGAACATCTCCTTCCTGGCCTCCCACTCTGCCCCCGACCTCTTCCTGGGGTGCGCAGAGCCCCCATCAGAGCCCTAACAGTGCCAAACACGGCGACTTCTTTAATTACGATTCTTCCTCCTGCTCCTCCTGCTCCT